TTCTAAAGTTATCTACTGTACTGCTATCGAGCCATATTTACTGTACATTGATCTGAGACTAAAATATAAAGGGACTAACTAACCCAATCCATCCATCCATCCACCAATCAACATGGCTTTGTATATAGATATGTTCAGTAAAGATAATAATATAAAAACAAATTAAATAATGACACAAAAAAAATCCACACACAGAAGCTTCTTTATACTGTAATTGAAACATACTGATCAGATTTAATTTGCAACGGCATACATCTAACATACATCTTTTATTTAAATTCAACACAAATAGCTTGAATCTACACAGGGCCACCAAGAGAGGAGGAAAAGATCCCCAGGGCCCTAGCTTACCAGGGCCCATAAAAATTGCAGGTAGCATTTTTCCCCCATATATTTTTCAAAGATAAATACTATCATAGGCCCTCAATAATGTCATGGGTCCCATAATAATGGGCTCCTCCAGATTGACAGGGCCCGGATCAAAAAAATTGTTTGCGCCTTCACGCAATCTTTCACGCTCGTAACTGGAGGCCCACACCAACCCTTGCGCCTGTTACAGTTTCCCCTCTTGGCAGCCCTGAATGTACATAAGGAATACTACTGAAACTATTTTATTTAAACATAAATTTGCTAGAACCAATGCACTTAAATATTCACTTTTTAATAGATTTCCTCGTTTGTGGCAAGGTATACCTGAAGATGTGAGAAACCTTTCTGTGTTTAATTTTAATGCTTTTGTGACTGCTCTTCGATTATTTATTAGGCAGCTTTAATTTTTAAATTTTAATGTTTGTGTAATGGTGTTGCATTGGAGAGCCGCCTGATAGTACTTATGTACTTTCGGCAATCCACGGAGTGCTCCACTGTTTGTTTGTATTTTTGTATGTTACCTGGAAATTGAATAAATAAATAAATAAAAAAATAAAAATAATTATACATACAGTATACACATCTTGTGTAGACCTTTTTGTATTTGGAAAGGCCATAGCATCAAAAATATTTCATATCTTGTGAAAAGGTTTTTCAAACAGAGGATAAAAGGATTTATTTACCTTTAA